ATATATATATATATATATATATATATATATATATTTGAGAGAAAAATAGATGGAAAAAAAAAACTATCAAAGATTGTGGCTTTTTTTGGGCGGTACCCTGCAATGAGACCCACCCTCCCATTCAATAAAGGTGCTCATAATTATTCATTAACGAAGAAAACAAAAAACAAAAAAAAGGTTCACATTTTGTTAAAATAAATTGTACAAAGATAGTTTATGTAAACAGCATTAAGGGCAAAGGGCCGTAGAAAAAGGAAGTATCGTGTTCAAAACCCAAGTAGACCTCCGGATTATTTAATTAAAAGTGGCAGAACAAATATGGCCGATCTTTCATTTACTCTGAATTTGTGTCAATACATGAATACAAGAAAGAAAGACAGAAAACACATGTACGCGAAACAAGTGTAACTATGCAATAACTCTTTTGAAAGAGCAAGGAACTTTATTGGCCCATTTGGTTCATGCGTTTAAATTGGTGATTTTGATTATAAATTCAAATTTTATAAGACAATCATTAGCGGGAATTTTTTTTATTCAAATTTTTTGTAAGAAAAAAATACTGAAGCAGAATCAGAATCATAATTTTAAACGTGTGAAACAAACATGCTCTATTACAATTTACAGGTCCCGCATTCAGTGGCTCAGATGCCGCTTGAATCTCTCCCAAAGATGAACTTCCTCGTCCAATCAGATACCACAAGCACCCTAGTTCTCCAGCTCACTTGCTTGCTGAAAATAACATTATATCAAATCAGAAACAATAATTATATTATTGTATGCTCATCAAGTAACAGATTATTACTTTGTCAATAATGCTAGGAATCTCGACTCTTAACCGAAATTTTTAATACTAACTGAGGTGGTCGTCACTCTTTTATTTTATCAGAAGGTGTTCACAAAATTGACAGGTCAATTAATATTAAAAATTGCATCTACGAGTGAATAAATGACAACTCACTATCACGTGAGTTAGTAAAGCTGGAATAACAGTTGGGATCCATAACACTATTCTTAGTACCTTGCATATACAGAATACCAGAGCCACTGAGTGCTATGACCCATTGATACCCAGTCCCCAGGCAATTCCGCTGCAGCTTGCTCTCCTCCCAAAGGAGCAAATTGCCCAAAATGCTTGTACCTTGTCCCAAGTTGCAACCAAATTTATTTGTTAGAAAGATGAAAGAAAGAAAATGTCATAACATAATACACTCAACATTTTGTCTTTGTTCTCAACCTACCAAACAGTTCATAAAGTCTAGATCCTTTGACATTCAAAATTTCCCTAGTTTTGTGTGGTGCAAAAAGTTTTCTGGAAGGTGTCATATTCTAATATAGTAATTGAAAATTGTTAGAAAGATATGCAAAAGACTATATTTGTCATATGATGAAGCAGCAATGGTACAGGAGATATAAGCTTCAAATATTAGACGTACTGGAAGGGGCGGAACACATGGTGGCCAGAACCTTTAAAACGACGCGGACCTTCAGGATTCTTTTCGAAATGATCCCTGCGGTTGAAGCACCTAGAAAGATACGAACCCTGCTGAGCAGCAACCTGAAACCAAAAAGGATGAAAAGAATAGTACTAGAATAACATGTGACAAGAGAAAGGTATGATCTAGACAAATTCGCGGCAAGCAAAAGATGAAAGACATAAAACCTGTGCAGTTGCAGGCAGACTTTTCATCTGTGAATCCACATGAGAAAGGACTAATCCAAATCCTTCGATATCCACTTCCTTCCTTTCATTCCCCTCAGAATCTTTCAACAGATCTGTCACATCTGCCAAATGCTTGCTCTTTAGATAGAGATCAAACTGAGGGTACCTAATGATGATGTCATCTAGAACAGCTCGTAACTCGCCAACAGTTAAGAAACCGGATTTGTCCTCATCCGCAGCTTCAAATATGGCTGCTATATCTTCCTGAAGAAAAAAGAAAGATATATGATACACCAAATTAAGCAAGTGGCCTGCATGTACACATTTCTTTGATTATGGCTTAAACATTTTTCACCATGTTAAAAATAAAGCCAGAAGTTACACTTCACGACTCCTAACATCAAGGAACAAAAGATGAATCATTCCTAACTTGATCAAGCAATCACAATTGATTGATCAAGTTGCTGGCAAAAGGAACCTGGTACTCGGGAGAAAGTTAGCATTATCCCTACCTAATTTAATAAGCTGCTGCGGCAAATCTAAAAAAACCCAATATAGCAGGAAAAAAATACAAGTTTAACAACTTCGCATACCATGATTTTACGTTGATCAATTGTAGCACAATCACCAATGGCATAAACATTTTCACACCCTTTTACGCGCAACCATTCATCAGTTGCTAGAATGCGTCTTTTACCCTGCGCGTACATGTCGGGCACAAATTATAATTCACAACATGACCTTTGTTGATTTTATTGATTAAACATCTCTCGGTCCTCAAAGGTGCAGAGACTTGTGACAAACCTGCCCAATTTGTTCCATGAAGTCCCTCACAACTGGACGAGTCCCAATGCCAGTGGACCATACAACCAATCCATGGGGAACGGAGCAGGTCTCTCCAGTTGATTTCACCTTCATTGTAATTTCCTTGTCAGAAACACTAACAACCCGACATCCTGTTTGCACATGAATACCATCTCTGGCAAATTTCATCTCAGCAAAAGAACTAATTCTTTCATCAAACCTGCAGAGACAATGATAACTTCCATAAGTTCCACAAGTCCATAAACTTGAAGTGAGCAATGAGTAATATTCCAAATAGAAACAGTTGGTCTTTGGTGATTTGATACTGAGCATAGAACAGCCAAGAAGTTAAGTGTTAGGAAGTTGAAGAGCAGGATGGAAGACCAGCAATAAAATAATCAAACAATTCACAACAAAATGAAGAGGTTACAGGAATAGCACTGCAGAGTTATTCACTCAAAGTTGAACGCAATGCGAATATAACAGTACCACATAGAACTCAGCCATTGAAATAAGGCATAATGGCCTATCAAATAAACAAACTGATCAGAGATAGAGCAAAATGGCAACAGATATACGACACGATTGACTGCAAGACGTGCGAAAATGGTTACAAAGAAACTAGGTCAACAAACTTGTCAGCCCATTGTTCTTTTCTTTTTGCTCTTCCCTAGGGTCTTCCCAAACGTGAAAAGAACTGGTTACTTTCACATTTTCAAGTCAAGAACTTGGAAAATAGTAATACTTGTTATATAACCATAGCATGATATTTTAATCAAGTGTTTAAAGTTTAAAGAAAAAACTGACGTGAATCGAATTCCTTACGTGTTCAAGATATGATCTCCTGATTGGATCACAGTGATCTTCACAAGATCCTTAACCCCAGGATATAGCTTGTACAGATCTTCTTCCAAAAAGTCATGCAGCTCTGCTGAAAATTCCACACCAGTAGGACCCCCTCCCACAACAACAAAATGAAGATTGGCCCTCCTCTCTTCTTCACTTAGGCCAGGAAGGATAGTCTTTTCGAAGCAATCTATCACGCTCCTACGGATCTTCTGAGCATCCTCTACTTCCTGCATGAGAAGCCACATTTCTTCCATTGTCAATCAGTTAAATATTCAACACCTTGTTGTTGTGTTTATTATACTCCTAAATTTGCTACCTTGAGAAAATGGCAGTTCTCTATGACACCAGGCGTATTGAACGTATTTACTTGCGATCCAATCGCTATAACCAAGTAATCATATTCCAGGGAGAACTCATCATTTCCCACCAAATTATTATCTATATTTGACCTGCACATAATCTTCTTATTCGAAGCATCTATCTTTACACATTCCGCCTCAAAAAATTGAACTTCCCCGTTTCTCTGGAATGTAAAGGAAAGAAATACCATTATACCAATAGCAAAACATCAAAGAGAATCCAAATTCTGAGTGTTCGTATTGTGTGCATGCAAACCAAATTGCCACCTTCTTTATAATTTTCCGAATTGGCTCCACAATGCTTCTGGCTTCAACCGTCCCACAAGTGACACTAGGTAACAGGGGCGTAAATGCAAAATAATTCCTCGGTGAAACGACCTGAACATCGTACTTCGAAGAATCCAGATCCTTAAGAAAACTAGTACCAGCCCATCCTGTGCCAAGCACCACCACTCTTTTTTTCCTATTCTCATTTTGATCAACAACTCCTCCAGGACATCCTATGTCTGACTCTGATTCTGAGTATGCCACAAGACCTCCAGCACTGCATTCATCCAAAAAAAAAAAACAGAAAAAGAATCAACTTTTTCAGGACAGCAACATAAAACACTTGGCTCTTTAATGTACTTTAACTATACAAGCAAAAGGAGAAAACTTTAATATGGTAACAACTACCGAATTTCTAAGAAGCTACTGTTAATTGTTACAAATGAATCCTTTCTTATTCTTTTTCCAATGATCCTTCAAAAAAATCACAAATCTGTGCCGTGTTTAGAATTGTTTTTTACTTTTTTAAGGAAAAAAAAAGATTTTAAAACGACCTTTAACATAATTAAAAATAAAAGACAAAAATAAAAATAATTTTTTAATTTAGTGTAAAATAAGAAAAAAATAATTTTTTATTTTTTATTTTCATTTTCTCCTTTCTTGAAAAAAAAAAAATATTAACAAATTTTTTTATACTAAAAATAATTTCTTAATAAAATTATTAAAACGTATTTTTAAAAATAATTTTTATTTGAGATTAAAAATATTTTTATTTTTATTTTCATATAAAAAATAAAATTATTTTAAAATGAGTTATACACAAACCCTTATAAACAAAATTGTTGTCCGTCTCCGTGCTAGTGGGTCCAACCCCACGCTTGGAAATGTTTTGGGCAAAAAGGCAATGTCACAGTTTTTATTATTTATGATTTATTTATTTATTTATTTATTTTAAATCATACTCAGTCGACATCATTGGACACAGCCCAGACTTTGCTCATCCATATCCATATGTGCACTATATTGGACAGCCACGTGTTCAATTTATTATTATTAAGGTTTATTTAATTCGTTAATTTAAATTAAAATATAATTTTATATAAAATTAATTAAATATAATTATTTTTAAAATTTTTTTATTATAATAAAATTTAAATTTTAAACTTAAATCAGTAAAATAATCACTCTTAAATATCATTGATTTTCACTTTATATTATAAACAAAAGATAAAAGGAACAGAGGAAACAAGGTAAACGAATTCTGGATCATCTTCCTTCCCCAATTTTAAAAATTCTGAGTTTCAGACAGAATCACTCTCGGCTGATTTAACAGTTATGATGTTTCCCTTTTATTGCCAGATTTTGCATTTGGTTAATTATCATATATTCAATTTGTTTTCTTCCAATTTATTTGCATCGTCGCGTTGACGTGAACTAAACAAAAAGACTTGTTTGGTAGCTGAGAAAACAGAGTAATATTTCTCGTACAAAAGAAGGAGATCAAAAGATCCTAAACTGATGTTATTCAAACGTCAGATCAAAGGAAAAGGAAACAAAATAATGTGAACTAACCAAGGCCAACGGCAAACACGAGAAGAGAAAACGCATGGGAAGGAAGCAAAGTTAAGAACCTGAGAGTGAGAGTAGAGACGAGTATAAGCTTGGAAGCAACGGGGTAGCCATGGAAGGCCTGTGAAGCTCTGGTGAAGAAGGAAAATATGGTCATTTTCTCAATGAGGTTTCAAGCTTCGACAGATTTGCTAACTCTATAGAGAGAGAGAGAGAGAGAGAGGAGTTTTGGCGTTATGTCGTTATCAACCCACCAGTTGAACAATTTTTAAGATTATTTTTATTCGGATTAAAATGTAATTTTATATAAAAATTTTACTATAATAAAAAAATTATATATAATTATTTTTAATATCTTAACTTTTTACGCATAATTGTTTTATTGAGTCCCTTGGTAGTTGGGGTATATTAATTTGATTTGAATTGTGTATGAAAAATATATATATATATTATAATGAAAAAATTTAATTTAATTTTTTATAAGAGAAAATATTATAATAATATGATTTGAGTTATGAAATGAATAAAGTTTTAATTTATATTAATAAAAATTATTATTATTATTATTATTTTGAAATTCACGTAAAGAATTTTATATGTTACACTTCCTCACGAAATTAAGTTAAAATTATCATTAATTTATATCTGCAACCATATAAATTAATTACTATTATTATTAAGAAAGGCGGAAATTGAGAGTAATTACATGAATAAACCTACTTCTTTTAATTATTTAACCATTTATTTTTCTATTTTTAGAAACTGATCACCTATAAAAGTACCCTATAAATTTTTTTAAAAAAAAGAGAAATTATATTCAATTAAATATATATATATGTATATATAAACACCAAACTCTCATACACGAGAGCAAACTCTCAACTCATGAAACCGGATCTATCAGTTAATATATGATGAAACTGAAGGAGAAAGATCATAATGTAAAATCTCTTTTATTATATTCTGTTACTTTTTAATATGTTTACACTTATGCAGAATGCTTAATACTTTTTTATGACTATCCCGGCGACAATTAATCAATAAATATATATATATATATATTGATTATTGCCAATGTGATGTGAAAGTAAGCTACTCTCATTTTTAGGCATGCAAAGTATATTAATTAATTGTCAGCGGGATTGTCGTTTTACAAATCGTGTATCGTGTGAGAACTGAAAAATTCACATGGCATTTCACCAATATCAAACTGAATAAACTTGGTTAAAAAAAAAAAAGAAAAAAATTGGTCAACAGTTTGAAGTTTCATATAATTTTTTTTAAAGAGCAAATTTATCTGTACTTTACCAATATCAAACTGAGTAAATTTCGTCAAGTTTGATTTTTATAATGGAGCTTTTTAGCAGTAGGGCACGTTTTACAGTAGTGTATATTTCTAAGGGTCAAATCTACAAAACCATATTAAAATTAAAAAAAAATACAAAGCTAACAAAATCCAATATAAAAATTACGTTTTAAAATGAATCCTACTCACATCAATATATTTCACCAACGTTAAAAATCTCATTTTTCAATTCAATTGATACTCTTGGCTAGCTGTCGCCTTTTTTAATTGATAATAAAGAATCATTTTTGGAAGTTGAAGATGCTAATCGTGCAACAATAGATGCAAGATTAGGTATGCAACTCCTTAGTTTTGTTAAAGGACGTATTTTTAATTTATTTTTTGGGCTGACAAAGAACGTATTTGAGTTGTGGATGGAAAAGAGACATTCCTCTTAGATATAAGCAAATCTTTGTTTTATAATAAGATAATGAGAAAGGGAACTTTATACATTTTTTTTTTTTCACTTTAGCGTTCATAACAAACACTTCCGTCATATGATTCTGATGCTATAAATAACAAAAAACAACTACTACTGCTATTAGCAATGTGTCATGGTTATTTAAAGGAATTATTATTATTATTATTATTATTATTATTATTATTATTATTATCATTATTATTATTATTATTATTTTATTTTATTTTATTTTATTTTTTGGGAAAATATGTCCTTATAAATTATAATTTTGGATCGATGAATGTCACCGACTCACCAAAGATGACTACTGGCTCTAGCCTCTAACAATGAAATAAAGGAATACCATTGTTTAAGAATTGAATTTAAATTTATTACTTTCGTTAAAAAAAAAAAAACATAAAACGGACTACGCATGCATAATTAGTAGTCATAAATAATGATAATAATAATAATAATAGTGCAGTATTAGTAGCTTCATTTACACCTCATAGTTAGCCAAAAGATATACTGCAGTAATAGTGTATGCACACCTAACTCTAACTTGAGATGAAATGTTCAAATGTTCAGTAAAAATAATATATATATATATATATATATATATAAAGTTCAAATCTTCATGAAAAAACGTAAATTTCAAAATTTTCCACAAAATATGTTATGGTTTTTTAAGGAAAATTACCATAGAAAGAATACATTCGAGGTATGCTCAAAAACCTACTAATTTAAGTAAATATTTAATGCATTCTCCGACAAAGGGAGTTATTTTTGGAGAGAAACCATGCGTTTTTTGGATCTACAAGCTCCATAGTTAAAACCTCTAAGGGGTCCCAATAGTTTGGACTTGAGTAGGCTGAAAAAAGACATACAACTTTAACAAAAACGACGTTCTGGAGAGTACATGATTCACACTCTTTAAGGTTCTTTAAATTTGTGGGTGGCGTAGCTACCAAGATCAATGCAGTCAATTTTACCTCGCTCTTCAAGTGCTTATTCTGCTATTGGAGGTAACGAAACAAACTTAGCCAGCTGCATTATTTCCTAATATAGGAAAAAGAAAGCATGTTATAATTTTTATTTGAATTTAAAATAGTTACAATGTCATTTAATTTAACGGTGTTTAAAAAGTATTAGATTAAGTTTTTTTTTTTTTTAAATTCTCTAACACAATTTGTAGGGTGCGTCTATTGACCTCCTCCATTTTAATTTTTACACATAAATTCTTAAATTTATTCTCATTCTACTTGTTATAACCTCTTAAGGGCCCGTTCGGTTCGCTAATTTGAGTTTTTAATTCGAGTTGAGATGTGATATTGTATGAGAGCTTTTTACTGTAGTAAAAAAGTTAGATATGACTGTTTCTGAGAGTTTTTTACTTTAACAAAACTCGAATCAGCGAAAAGAATGAGGCCTAAATTTTCTAAAAAGTCCTTACAACTAAATCACCCCAAACTACTTTTTACACATTTTTAAACCACTCCATATTCTACTTATTACACCCTTATTAAAATTTTTCTATAAATGAACAACCTTTATATTTTAGTATAACATAAGATTATAATAATTTGTACGAATGCTTCATTACTAAAAACAAAAAAGAAATTGAGAAATTATAATAACAATCGGTAAATAAATTAATATTATAATAATGTATACGAAGATTCATTACTAAAAACAAATAAGAAATTATGAAATTGTAATAACAATCGATATATGAATTAATGGGCATATAAAGGATTGTACGGATTTATATATTGATGATTATTGATTACAAATTGTAAGAAAAAAATTACAAACAATTTGTATATGGGACGTATAAAAAAATAAGAATGCGTATTTTGACGTTAAAACTCATTTCTTATCCTTATGGAAAAATAGGGAAAAAGGGTTTTCAACATAGATCTCTTTTTGGATTGTATTGTGTGATGAGTATTTGTTGAGGTCAAATTTCATACCTCATTCTCATCATATACATGTCAACACATGTCTCGAAAAATGAGAATTAATCATAGAATCGGCTTCTGAAATCATTTGCGGGCCACTAACAGCTCGCCGGTCACGGACAGTCAAACAAATCTCCAACAGACGACAAGCTACTCATCAAGTTAGCAACCTCCCAAATCTAGAAACAGTATGCCAAAACGATTCAGGTGCATGAGCCGCGAGCTTCTGACAGTTCGCGCGTTGCGCTCAACGGACGAGCAGCTCATCCGACAAACTACTCGACAACCCTGTTGACTTGGCTCGCAAGCTTTCAAATATTGGGTAGATCCTCCATGATTTTCTGCATTAAATTAGTGTGGAATCAAGATTTAAACGAGGGAATCTCCATCAAAAAGGGATTATCTCATCTCTAAATTAAAATTTTAAATTATAGGATTTATCCACAAGCATTTCAAATAGCAAACCCTTCTCTAACAAGATCAATCACCAAAGCTATAAAAGGGGATTAAAGTCTCGTTCACTTCGCAGATTCGAGTTTTTAATTGGAGCTGAGATATGACATTTTATGAGAGCTTTTTACTGTAACAGAAAAGTTAGATGTTATATTTTCTGAGAGCTTTTTACTGTAAAAACCTAAAACTGAAAACTCGAATCGGACGAGACCTAAATCACGCCCAAGGTATCTCTCCTAGCCTCCATAGGCAACTTCCTTGAGTTCTACTCGTATTCCAAGGAATCACGAGCATGTTTTACGGAGTTGTAGGCTTAGCTTCCCCCATTTTCCTAGATTTTTTCTACTTTCCCCAATTTCTCTTATCCCTTCCTCTTCTTGCTCTCAATGTCATTGTAATTTATCATCAATTATAGTGGAAGCATCCCAAAGACCCTATAGAAGACAGAGGACGTAACTCTCATTATCAAGTAAACCTCTATAAAATTTTTCGTGTCTCTATTTTTATTTATTTTTCATACATTTGTTTATCGCAATCTAATACTAACTCTCAAAATTGTCTAGATTCGATCATTGGTAACAATTCCTTTATAGTATTTCTTTTAAAGCACTTATTCGTAAGTATTATTATTTTTTTTTTTTTTGATAATGGGAATTCATTCTGAATAAAAAAAATACAATCACTAATTCAGACGTGAAAGACCTGAGCATAAATACGACCATAGAGGTTCAATTGAAACGATCAAGGGATAACGCATGTACCAAGTTCTAACAAAAGGGAAACCAAAGAGGCACACACCTAATCGAGCACAACAATGACTCTTTCAAACACACCACTAATGCCGCAAAAACTGGTGGATAACTCCGATCGATCAGGATCAAGAGACTAAAAGCACAAAAAGCCTACCACAACACCGTATAAAAATATAACATGAGGACTAGACAAAATGACAACACTGAAAAGTGTGGAGACCATTTCCGTTATTACAATCGAACACCGGCAACAACAAAAAAAAAACACTAAAGCTAAACGGTCGAAACATTAACTCCGTTATTCAACAAACACAAAAACCAAAACAAGAGGGTAAACCCCAAATGACAAGGACTTCCGATAAAAGTCGGGCGATTCAATAATAAAATAATTTATCAAAAAAAGGTGTGTGAAAAGTGAACTCAAGGGTGATAATAGATCCAACCTAATATTTTAAGGTGGGATGTGTGATACATATTTTTTAAAATACTGTTGTCTTTAAGAGTAATTCTTTTAATGGGTAATTTAATAATAAATAATTTTATTGAAAAAAAGGCGTGAAAAGTACGATGGAGGTGTCAATAGACAAGGCATAATATCTGATCTATAGAAATCAGGATACAGCATCATGTCCTCAGAAATGAACCCAAAACTGTCAAGCACTCAAACATTAGCCCCACCAACAAATACAATAATAATAACAAACGGACGAATATGGCATAGTGTGATGTATCAATAAAAACATAACATATTAGTGGTCGAGCAATAATTACACACCTAATTTTTTTCCACACTTAAAACATATTCCATTAGCCTTAGCCGATCAAGCAATAGAATTACACACCAAATGAAGTTTTTTCTTCAAAGAGGAAGAAAACAGAAAAACTGGTCGAGCATTTACGAGAAATCGGTTTATTTAGTGGCTTGCTTTGGTCTTTTTCCTTTAGGTAGCAATAGCACGGTTTCCTTGCCTCGTGCCGGCCTTCTGATAATCACCTTTCTATGGTTGCTTTAGTTGTCGTGTAATTCACTTTCCAGCCCAGAAAAAAAGAAGAATCAGAAAGGTCGAGGAAAATTATGTCCGGAAGTCAAGAATAGACGTCAAATGTGGTTTAACAAACTCTACTTAATTACATAATAAAAAAAAAAAACAACTTTAAATAGCAAAATTTTTAAATATTTTTAGCAAATAGCAAAATTTTTAAATATTTTTACCAAATAACATATTTTTTTTAAATATTTATGGACGCAAAGCGGCCAAGACCTCTCCAAGATACAGTAATTAATGATTAAAAATCTATTTAATTCATTGATTAAAATTTTTAATTTAAATTGAAATGTAAAAACTTTTTAATGTAATAAAAAATAATGTGAAAATTATTTATTGTAATAAAAATTTAAATATGACTGTTTTTAAAATTTTTTTATTGTATCAAAACTTAAATTTACAAATTCATACCATAATTTAAATTATAATTCATAACTCACTATAATATTTTTTCTCATAAAATAAAAAAAAACAAGTAAACCAATAATAATTTTAAATCTGAAACGTCTCTTAAACTCAAATAATAAACTGCAATATGGGTTTTCTCGGCCACGTTGGTCAACATTTCAACTATGGATCGGGCATTATATTATTATCTCAATTTTTTCTTTGCTTTTCCACGACTCAGGTAGCAAGGAAAGTATGTTCACCAAGCCAAGTAATCAATTTCAGAAACAATATTTCATATGCACCCTAATAGCAGAATCATCGACATTAAGGAATGGAGAAAAACTATTACGTAACCACGCATAAAAAGGACAGTTAAATTATGAATCCTTCGTTAATTCAAATTTTTAATTTAAATTGAGATATAATTTTATATAAAATTTTTATTGTAATAAAAAAAATTAAATGAGACTATTTTTAATAGATTTTTATTATAATAAAACTCAAATTACGAAAACTGGAAATTTGCAAAATCATTATTAACGTTATAGCCCGAGATCGTATTACACAATCAAACAGCTATTACGAAAAAATTGTGATCACAGTGTTCCGGTCGAGAGTAGAATGATAACTGTAAAATGAACCATCAACATGAGAGTAGAATGACAACTGTAAAATGAACCATCAGAATTGCAAGCATTTGGATTCAGAGAAATTCTAGCATATCTCTTGCATTTCTATCTCTCTGCATTCCCCGTCGAACACATAAACTTCAAAATATCAATTTTTATTTAGATTTTTTATTTAGATTATAATATATCATATTAATAGAATCTATTATCATTTTTTATTTAGATAATAATATATCACATTACCGAAAAATCTGTGTACTTAAAATGAATATTTAGTGCTGTTATTTAACTCCATTCTCGTGAAAAATTAGGTAGAGAAGAAGCTGATGACAACACAGACTCTATGAGTTTTTCAGACCCAATACCCACATGAAGGGATAGGGGTATAGTTAAAACTCAAACCATTAATAAACAAAAAGTCCGAAATCTCAATAAATAAATAAAACTGATTAGAAGAAAATGCACCGTTATGTAATAACATACAAAGAAAGCCTCAGTCAAATCCGTTACTGTCATATGAAATATTGCTTCGCCAAGTAGGTTCCTCCTTTATCAGGAGCTTGGCTCCACAACACCTAAACAAGTTGGATTGGGTCATCATAGGCATTTGACAAACAATGCAGGTAAAATCAATTATAAGTTATTTTAAAAAGAAAATCAGAACATTTTTATAACAACATAAAGAAATAGGTTACACATAATTGCCTCGGAAAAATCCAGAAATTTCATGTTCGGATATAGAGCTCCAAGTAGGTTCTCCCTTATGCAGGGACATGAAGCTTACTACACCTAAAAAATATGGATAAATCATCACTGACAAATCGAATTACAAAAAAAAAAAAAAGATCAAAAACAAAATAAAATCAATACAAATATCAAAAACTACTACTGGAGATCTAAATTTTATTAATTGAAGGCTCAGACTATTAAACAGCTCTATCAATCAAGAATTTTCTGAAGCAGAACTGGCATTTAAAGCTGTGATTAAATCATCATAGCCGACAAATCAATTGTCACAAAAAAAAAAAAGCAATGACTTTCCACAATACAATTCTATACAAACCAATGTTATGTGTAACGACATAAACACAAATAACAGAATTAAAAAAAGTCAAAACTGGCTCATATCAAGAAATTCAACCATTATTCAAGTTTATGCTTCATAGATTCAACTCAGAAGCGCGGGTAAGAAATAATCATCGCCAACACAAAAACACAAATCTCTGTACCAATTGTTCTCGATCCAATTCATCAGACCCTGTAGAAGATCAAATTTCGCAAACGAAAAACAAATGTAGCGGAAGTTTTTAGAGGCAAAATCATTGAAAAAGATACACCCCCACGTGTAACAACGCCAGAAACCAATATACGCCTCGATGACTAGCCTCGTTTTCATCGACTAATTTCCATTGAAAACAAGCTAAAGGTGTAGTGAGGCAAAACACGAAAATACACAAAAGAAACAGATATACATATATCCATATATATATATATATATGTATATACATATTATGTATGCAAAGATTTAGCCGTTGCTTTGACACAGATCAACCGTGGAAGAACAAAGCCAAACTGCAACACTGAACGGCGGCGATTTAGCACGAGCATTGGGGCTTTCGCCGTCAACCAGATCGTCAGGGAAGCCCGGGGTGCATCGTGCAGAGATGATAATCTGACTCTGAGAAAAATACTAAACAAGAAATTAAAGAATTGGAAACTGAAATTGAAATGGGGATTCCTTTTTTTTTTTCATTGCTTTGCTTAAAACCCTAAACTTTGAGGCTCTGGCGGTGGGGGATACTGATAGTAGAATATGGCGTTGAGATGTGTATATATAGAGGAAATAAACCCACAAACCCTAGATCCATTCTCCAATGCCATTCAATTTGAGTGTCGTTATCCGCTTTGTTGTCCTTTTCCATTTATTGTCGTTTGTTCCTTTGCAGTGGTTATTATGTTATTGTTTTTTTTTTTTTCAAGGAGTAATTTTAAAAATTCTGCCGAACAATTCTTATAATATTTTATCTTTTAAATTTTAAAAAATAACATTGCTTTTTTTTGTTTTGTTAATAAATTTTATCTTTATTTTATAATGAGTGACAAAAATCATCACGTATCAGGTATATAATTCATTTAAAGAAAGTATTATCATAAATTAACATATAACAACCTTAAATTATTAAAAAAGCGATTAAAAAATTTAAATGCGTTAAAAAAATCAATTTTATTAATTTTATTTTTGTTTTGTTTTGTTAGGGTTAGAATTTTTCTTCCAAAAAAAAAGAGAAAAAATCAATCTTTATTATAAATTTCTGTGGTGAATCACTCTCAATGGCTGCAACATGGGGAAATAAGGAAATGGGGTTGAGAGAAGAAGAAGAAAATGATGACGATTTAGGGAGAATAGCCAAATGGGTTTTGGCCTTGACGGTGAGATTGTGAAGAAGAGACTCTGGACCAAAGGCCAAGCGAATCATCTCTTTCTCGCCATAGTCTTGTATCAAAAGGTACCCCATAATTTTCGTGGCGTTTTCGGGTTCTAAACTCTGGATTCTTAATAATCTTGTTCGACTAGCTTCGTAAGAATCCATTGATAATGTCAAAAGTAAAGAAAAAAAGAATTATGCTTTTCTAAGGATAGAAGAAAAGGGAGAAGAAGGAATGATAATGGGAGGTGAGAAAGTAGAGCGTGTTTGTACTTTCTTTTTTTTGGATTAATTTTGAAAAATGTGCAATGAATTTAGCGGATTGTTAATTTAAGTAATGAGTATATACGAAGGTGGTGAAACTTGTAGTTTTTCTCTCGTGCCCATGTGATAAAAGAGCGAGATATTGAAGTCTGAAGAAGAAGAAGAAGAATATAAGCAGACTTTAGAGAGAGAGTAAGTTTGTTAAATCTGTTTGTTGGAGAATTATCTGATTATGAAGGTATAAGCGTAATTGCGCTTTCAATTCTCACTAAATAAGTGACACGTGATAATTCTGTCACTCATTGTAATAGAATGATAAAACTTGTTAACGGAATAAAGTTCGGGAGAACGGATGTTACATTTTAAAATTCAAGAGGTAAAGTGTTAAAAGAGTCATAGTTTAAGGAGAATTTTTGAAATTAATCCCTTTTTTAAGTGTTGTTTTCTTCGTTGACGTTTTCAATCTTTGAACGGTTGTCCTTCCTTTGTTGTCGTTTATCTTTTTTGTGTCGTTTTTCTGTTAAATTTCTTTATTGTCGCTTTTTATTTTATCTTGGTGTTGATTTTTCGTTGTTCTTTTTATTTCTACCCATTACTCCATTTCGTTATCTTCTTTTGTCAGTTTATTTATTGTCAGTTTGTTATTTGTTATCTGTTTTCCAACCTTTTATCCGCTTTATCGTTTGTTCTTTACGTGTTTTACATGTGTTTTTGTGGTTTATTTTTTTATTTTCATTTCTTTTATATTGTCTTTTTTTTGTGATTTAGTTACGTTTTAATTTCTTTTATTTTGTTTTTCGCTTTATTGCCTCTGTTACTGTCGTTTATCCTAAGATGTCTCTGTTGGATATTTAAATCCTTATTTCACATTTCAGGAATCATCACACTAAATTATTAATAAAATATGTTAGAATAAATACCTGTCTCTATTGATATAGCCTTAATCTCCAGTAGAAATCTCTAAGACAACGAGCACATTGAGTTATTGTCTTCCTCAGTCAAATCACCAGATTCTTGAATGAAAACGGCCGAATAATTTGATGTATTGGGGACCATAACCTAAGTTTTTTTTATATATTGTCCTATTAGGCTTTCATTAAACCTAATTGGGTCAATATTACGTATCCACCCATTTAGCCCATACCCAGTTAGGAGACTATTGGGCTTTCCATAATTAGACCACTTAATTAGCCTAATTAATTAAATAATGTTAATATAATTGTTATAAATATGTGGGCCATAATTATTATTAGGAAATATAATTTCCTACAATATCCTACTTGGGCTACATATGATTCCTGACACAATTATATCATACATTATTCCTTAGGCACGCAACTGTATGCTATTTATCCTTAGTTTCCACTTACAGTACAATCTGGTCCATCTCTTATGTTAACATGGGATCATGGCGGCTTTTGTCACTATCAAAATGCAACTAAACCTTCTATGGTCACCATACCAACATATTCAATGACATAGATTGGGTATGAATGAGTGGCATGGAAATTACATGTAATATGATCTCTAACATGCCAATTTCTAATTGGTCTTGCTTTATTCTTTATGAGATCAATCTGTACTTTTCAAAACATAATGCAAAGATTGCAAACAGAAAATTAACACATTTAGAGGGAAAAAAACTATAAAACTGTAAATCCATCTCATTTATTCTGCAGAAAATAAACAAATAAATGTTTATGTCATAGAACATCCAAAATCAACTCCCACTATACCATAGTATCCTCAAACAAAATAACACCCATATGAGTAGTGTGCTCATGAAAGGCCTTGGGCGTTAAGCCTTTGGTTAGCGGATCCGCAAACATGGAGTTTGTCCCTATGTGTTCTATCAAAATCTGACCCTTCTGAACTTTTTCTTTAACAACCAGAAACTTGATATCAATATGCTTTGATTTTGTAGAGCTTATGTTGTTATTGGAATACAGCACTGCCTATTTGTTGTCACAGAATATCTTTAACGGCCTTTCAATACCATTAACCACACGCAGCTTCGTGACAAAGTTTCGCAACAACATCCCATGATTAGATGCCTTATAACAGGCTATGAACTCTGTAGCCATGGTAGAAGAAACTATAAGTGTCTACTTGACACTCTTTTAATAAACAGCTCCTCATGCCAACATGTAAACATAGCCTGACGTGGATCGCTTACTGTCTTGGCATCTAGCAAAATTGGAATCAGTATACCTGATGATCTCTAAACTGTCTGATCTCTGATAGGTGAGCATGTAATTCTTTGTTCTCTTTAAATAGCGTATAACCCGTTTGGCTGCTTTCCAATGATCCACTCCTGGGCTACTTAAGTATCTGTCCAATACTCCTACTATAAATGCTATGTCGGGACGAGTACAAACTTGAGCATACATTAGACTTCCTATTGCTGATGCATAAGGAATCTTTTCCATTTCCTTTATCTCAAGTTCATTCTTAGGGCATTGACTGAGACTAAACTTATCTCCTCTAGCTACAGGCGTATCTCCTGATGTACAATTCTTCATGCCAAATATGTCAAGAAACTTTTTGATATAGCCCTTTTTGTGATAACCTAAGGATAACTCGATAGCGATCTCGTAGTATTTGTATTCCTAATACAAAAGAGGCGTCACCAAGATCCTTCATCTCAAAATTCTTAGTGAGAAATTTCTTGATTTCGTGCAATAAGCCTATATCGCTGCTGGTAAGTAATATGTCATCAACATATAAAATCAGGAAGATGAATTTACTCCCACTGAACTTGTGATATACACAATCATCGACCACATTCACCTCAAAACCATAAGAGGTGATAACTTGATGAAACTTGTAATACCATTGATGGGAAGCCTGTTTGAGACCATAGATGGACTTCTTTAAGTTGCAGGCCATAGACTTTGAATCTCCAGATACAAAGTTATATGGCTGGACCATATAAATCGCCTCATCAATGTCGCCATTGAGAGACGATGTCTGAACATCCATCTGATGTAGCTCTAAGTCTAAATGAGCCATAAGTGCCATAACTGTCCTAAAAGAGTCTTTCGAAGAAACCGGAGAGAAAGTCTCTTTGTAGTCTATGCCTTCCTTCTGAGTGAATCCTTTAGCGACTAGACGAGCCTTATATCTTTCGATGTTACCTTTTGAATCCCTTTTGGTCTTAACTATTCATTTACAACCTATGGGTTTCGTTCCTTTAGGCAACTCGACAAGATCCCAAACGTCATTGTCTTTCATAGATTTCATCTCATCTTTCATGGCATCAATCCACTTTTAAGCATTAAAACTCTGTAAGGCTTGTTGAAAGTTGATAGGATCATCTTCCCCTAAGCCTACACCATATTCATGTTCTTGGAGAAAGACGATATAATCATCTGAAATCGCACTTCTCTTTTCTTTAGTGAATCTCCTTAATGGCACTTATTGAGGTTGTTGATTTTGCTCTATAGGTTCTGTAGGGGGAATCTCATTGTTGTCTTGTTCTGGAGCAATGTTAGGAACAAGAGCTTGATCATTGTTATTTTGTACTGGAGTTGCATCTTGGACAATGGCAGGAATAACAGCCTGGTCTTGCATTTTGGACATCATTGCTAATAGCAATGTTGGGAAGAGAAACAAAATCCTCTTCCTCAAAGACAACATTCCTTATTTTATCTTTCCCCCCAAACTCAATATCCTCAAGAAATCTCGCATTTACCGTCTAAAAAAAGGACCTAGTGGTGGGATCGTAAAACTTAAAGCCCTGAGAGCGTTCAGCATATCCAACAAAATAGCAACTAACCGTTCTTTAGTCTAGTTTATTTTCATTTGGCTTGTAAGCCCTTGCTTCAGCTGGACAACCCCAAACATGTAAGTGCCTAATGCTAGGTCTTTTTCCTATCCATAGTTCATAAGAGGTTTTGGTTACTGCTTTGCTTGGAACTCTGTTAATGATATAAACTGCAGTCTTTAATGCTTCTCCCCAAAGTGATTCAG